CCTCGTCGAGGCGTCGCCCTGACGGAGAGAGGTGGAGAGAGAGGCGACAGGAGGGAGGGGGAACTCGGCTCCCTCGGGGCGGAAACTCTGGAAATGGTGTTGGTTGTTACCGACCCCGGATCTGCTCCCTCCTACGACGCGTGGAGAATCAAGAGCTGTGTGCGGGGAGGGTGTGAAGCGCAGTGGGACCCGCTGAAATGGAAGGACAGGGTAGGGAAGAGAGAGAGAACGAGCAGGAAAGGAAAGGGAGCGGGTGGGCAGCCAAGTCCTGCCTCGTCCGGGAGGCTCCCTTTGTGCTGAAAGTAAGCGCAGCTGACTGTTAACGCTGCAGAAAGAAAGCTTTTCTTTTTTTTTTTTTTTTTTTCTCTACATTGAAGCTCTGTGCAGCCTCAGCCAGAAGCACAAATCCGTAAAATCTCAGTGTGAAGACGACTCACAGGTTTAACTCTTTGCTCCAAACCTGTTTTCCTTCATCCAGAATAAAATGTTTGCCTTTTGTTTAACCTTAGAAGCAGCTAACCATCACCTTGCACAAATCTAGGTGTGATCTTTGGCAAACGCAAAAGAATTAAGCTCCCTCGTGCCTCTCTTACTGTCGACAGCATGAGTATCTTGTGTGCCTTCTGGATTTGAAACTCACACATAATTTCCAGTTTGGAAGTTCCCAGGTTCCAATACATAGGCTTTGCTTAAGGCTTTCAAGTTTTGTTTAGCGTTACCAAAGGCCAATTCCATGGCCATTTTAAATTCACATAGGTTTTCTTTGGATGACCTAGTTATGTGCTTAATCCTAATTGGTTCTGGAGCAGTCGTTTCAATTCTGTTCACAATACAAGCAACAGGAGGGTCCTGTCCCATCTGTAGTTCTAAGTGCTACAATAATACCCATGTATTATTAAAAATATAAAATTAATGAAACAGACCAAGCAAAATAGCTTCTCTCTTGCAGAGGAGTCCAATGCAGTGAAAGAGATATAAGAGATGGGTGACCGCAACAATCTAAAGGGAACAAGAAAATCCAGTTGCATAGGGAGGAGCAAAAATATCAGAGGTGGAACAGGGAACTCTTGTGTACCTAAGGAAATGGTTATGAAAAATAGGTGGCTCATGGTACTGGGAGCTGCACCAAGGTCAAAGAGAACAAAGAGGGAAAAGAGCTTTTATTAGCAAAAGAGAGATTGCTAACTTGACAATAGAAAGTGATTCGTGTGTTATCTCAAGGGTAATTTACAGACACACAGTGAAAGATCCTGTTGTTTGAGCTTACTATGGAGAAACTACCAAAAGGTTTTCATTTTAGAAAGACAGTTGGCAGTAGCAGGCATTTCAGAGACATGCTTCAGATTCTGGCAGAATAACAGAAATGTGGATGGAATAAATGCTGTGGGATGCAGTACTGGCAGATGAGACCAAACTAAATGAAAAGGGCAAGGAAGCTTATTCTGAGAAAGTGTAGTGATGTAATGGGCTAAGAAGATGGCAAAGAATAAGAAGAGGGAAAGAACAACTGGAGCTGTCAAATTGAAGAAAGGCAATGCATTAGTTAAGAATTTGCACTGGATGATGCCTGCGCAGTTTGGAGCACTGTATGCTTCTCTATCTCATTTTACAAAGACAGATCTAATTGTCTATTGAAATACAGAATAGCTTCCACTCAGAACAGAGTGTTGTCTTCAGCACAAACTTGAACTGATCAGGGAACAAACAAGCTGACTTACCAGATTTTCCTGTCTAAATATTATGAGCCCCACTCAGCTCAAAGTAAGCAAGCGTGCTAAAAATGTTTAAGGAAGAACTGCATTTGGTTAATGCATCAAGGAGAAATTGTCACTATCCAAACACAATTTCTCTTCTATAATATTATGTGAGCAGATACCTTTACTGATTTCCTTCAAAACACCATCTAGGAAACTGTAATAGGGTCAAAATATACCCCTTTCTGGGTTTATTTGTTAACAACATAATGTAAAAGACTTGTATTCCAGGCTTGTCTGCCATGAGTGTTCCTTTAAGGGTAAAGCTAGAACCACTGAGGTATTTGATTCTGGTTTGTGTCATTTGAACTATCCAGGCTGCTGAAACAGTACGTGAAGAGAGGATAAGCCCTTTGGGAATGTTAAGTCTTTGTTTTGCAAGGATTAGGGTATTTTCCATGGAGTGATATGGGCATATGTGAATTCTGCAGTTCTCTGCCATTGCTTTGGACCTTACAGAATTTTTTAACAGCAGGCCAAAGAAGGCAGTTGCCGGGTTTGCCCGAAGTGTTGTGGAAGCCATACCAGAAAGCCTTGGCTCTGGAAGAGCAAAAACTAAAGCCCCTTGGTTTTCCTTCCATGTAGGAATGAATCAGCAGGCTCTTTCGCTCCAGCTAAGTGACATTTGCTTCTGTTATGCCCAGGATGCAACTAATGAGCCACCAGCAGCATTGAGTCAGCAAGAGTTGCTCTCTTAGCAGGGTCAGCAAGAAGAGTTCATCAAGGAATGTTAGCAGCTTAAGCAGCTTTGTAGTATATGTCTCTTCCCTAAGCTCAGTATCTGACAAAGATTTGGTTCTGGGGAAATGGGTAATCTAAGGAGAGGAAACAGTCTCTTGTGCAGCCCAGTCTCCTTTATCATCTTGTGTTTTTCTCTACATGACAACATGTGTGGGAAATTTTAATTCTTAGGTAAAGGTGATAGAGTAGGCATGAATTTTAGTGCAGACAGCACTTCCGCCCTGGTCTAGGGACCCTTTACTGTCATTCATAGAGCAGAAGTCTGATGTCTGCACCAGTATGCATAATGGCAGTATTAATTTCCTCACGCAGGTATTACCTTTTAGCTTGTTTTGTGCTTCTTGTGACAGTTACCTTGCCTATATTCAGAGTTACAGCATCCAAGGTCTTCGGGGCATATGATAGTAACAGAACTGAGGGAAAATAAGTTTCCCTAAGATGAAATAAAAGTCCTGTATGTTTTTGGGTTTACAGGAGATCCAGCTGTGGGGAAGAGTGCTTTAGCCCAGATGTTCTGCAATGATGGGGCTCATTTTCAGAAGAACTACACACTGGTAAGCATATGACAGGCTCAAACCACTATCTAACATTTTCACAAGTTGCATGAGAACGTCTATGAAGGTCTAGAACAAAATAAATAATATGATTTTAAGTTGAGGCATTCACAGTGGGGTCTTACAGGGTTTTCTTTCTCTTACACCCTAGATTCAGAAGAGTAACCATTTACTGTTCTGTAAGTCTTTACATTATGTGAATGCTGGTTTTGAAACTCAGTGCAGAATAATTTAGTTAATTTTACAATTTTCCTGCAAAGTTTTCGCAAGCTTTTGTAGTGTTAGAGAGCTTCCCCCTTTAGGGAGTGCTCTATGAAAAAGCATTGCTGAAGGAGAAAGCTTTTAATTCCAGCTAGTAAATGTGCGTGTGGACAGTGCGCTTATCACTATGCAAACATGAAGATGTGCTGCATAGCCCCAAGATAATTATAATCTACAGAAACTGTTCCCAGATGAAGAGGATACAGTTTGCAGTCTTTCAGTGTAAGAATCAGTGGTGATGACTAATCAGAAGCAGGATAAAAATAAAAGTAAATATAAGTAAAGTAAAAAAAGGAAAATACAAATGTGGAGAAAAAAACCCTAAAATATGTTTATTCATTGAAATAAAGATGGAAACCAGAAGTTAAGGATAGAAATAGAACAAACAAACAAGCTACAAAGCAGAATGAGATAAAAGGTGAAAGAGGCACAAATAACCTCAGTGCCATATGTTAGCTGATCATGTGGTTGGTGCAAAACGTTCTGAGGTGTGCTTTAGAGCAGCAGTGTGATAGTGAATGTAGCCATGCAGATTTCAGCTAGTACACTTAGTTGTATATAATCAAATCTCTGGACATTGGTTCTTCTCTGTCTCTTTCCCCCGTAAGAGCAAATCTACTTGGCTTTGACATGTAGGTGGGAGTATGTTATCAGAGCTCTGAGGAGTTCCCAGCAGTCTGTGTTTGATGGGATGGTAATGATTCACAAGAATTGCCTCAATCCAATGCATAGTTGGTATGCAGTCAGACAGGCTCTTAAAAACTCTTCTGATCCTTGTTTTCCTGATTTTTCTTGACAGACAACGGGCATAGAACTGTTGGTGAAGGCTATATCAGTTCCAGAGACAAGTGATAGTGTGGTGAGTTTTTCTGTGACATAAATTGGGTCAGAAAGAGACATCCAGAGCTCAGACCTCACTTCAGTCTCATTCTGGTGGAAGGTTGCTCTGCATGTTCGTAAGGTCATTAAGTTGAATTAAGGAAATGAGGCTAATCAGGTACAGTTGCTGATACTCCAGGGTTAGTTTAGTCTTAGAAATATAAGTTTTACATTCTTGTATCCAACATGACATCTTAAACCAAGGCTGTTGCCAGCTTTGTTAGGATTCCGTTCTGTCCTTTAGGGCACTCGGGTTTAGTCCATGTTTCTTAGAACTACAGAAGCTGGAACTTACCTGTTATTTTTTCTTAATGCCCTATGTTCCCACCAGTGGAATGTGGACCACATGTGTAATTTTGTATCAGTAGTGCAGGTTTCAGTCCCGCTCCACACACTCTGTTTCCAGTAGGGATGGAAACCAGACTTGGGGCCTTGGAGGTAGCCCTTTTATTGGTTATACATGAAAAATAGCTATTTCTTTTCTCATACTGACTGAACTGGAGTATTCTCAGTGCAGGGAACTTGTCCCTTGGGGACATGACACTGCTGTACTGAACAAAATGCAAGAGTTACAAGTTCCAGTATTTACTTTCAAAACCAAAAAACTACACTGCATTTTTCCTGGCAAGAGCCTTCTTTTTGCTTCTGCTTTCAGGAATTCTTCATTTTTGACTCTGCAGGAAAAGACCTATTTTCTGAAATGCTGGGGAAACTGGTAAGTCTTATGTAACAGTCCTCTTCTTCCAAAGAAGTGCTTCTGCTTTGAAGATCTGAACTCCCCAGTCTGGCAGATGTAGCAAACTTTGTCTTTAGTGTAAATGGGAGCAATTATCTCAGTTGCCAATGCATCCTGTTCTACCTCTCTAAAACTTGTAAAAGTATTAGAAGTACTTTCCAGAGGAGGGCAGGCAGATAGTAATTCAGTTTTCTTACAGAAGAAATAGGGTTGTTTAACTGAGAATCACTGTGTGCTGTTGGTTAAAGTTATTTTTATTTCTTAGAAAAACATCTATTTTCCTGCTACTCCAACGGTAGGGTTTTTTTATGTTATAGTGGTGTGTTTACTCTAACAGTACTTATTCCTGTCCTTGAGTATAATACTGCCCTTGATTTTTTTCTTTCACACATTTGTGTCCTTACCAGTACAGTTCCCTGTTGTGTTATCTCTTTTTGAGACGTAGGATCAATTAATTGATGTGAAGTCTCATAAGATGGCTAAGTCAACCTAATGGCTGATTGCTCTCCAAGAGGCAATTCCACTTTTGCACTTGCACTAGGTCTGATTTGCAAGGGAGCTCTCTAGAAGCTGGCTCAGCTTCTCAAACTTGAAGAAAACCTTTTTACTTTTTTCTCTAGGATTAATTTTGCTCTGATTCAGCATGGAGAATCAGCTTCCCCAGGGATCAGATGAGTGCCAGAGCTGATACAAGTAAAGGAACAGGACCATGCAGACAGGAATGGGGAAAGAGAGTAAGACCACCTCTCCCAGTGCCTGCTATCCATTTAGTCAGCTCCACTGAAATGTGAAACCTCAGCCAGGGCATAGGATTCCTGTATGTTAGGCTTTTTATTTTTGTCTTAGCATCTGTGTTTGCCGTATTTACAGGCTGGCTGTTGACCACATCAGTTTCATTAGAGCTGACAATGTTCCTTTCTTGCTGTGCAGTGGGAGCAACCCAACGTCCTGTGCCTTGTGTATGATGTCACTAATGAGCAATCTTTCAACAACTGTGCCAAGTGGTTGGAGAATCTGACGGCTCAAGCAGTTGGAGTGCACATCTCAGGTAGGAAATGGGTGAGATTCTTGTTACCTGCTCCCCTCTTGTATGACAACAGTTGTTCTCACTGAGATGTGGCATAGAGAGTTTATTTTAAGCCAGGGGTAGGCATGGCTTCCTCCAACTCTTTTGCTTTTGTTACAAAGCAGATAAGGCATGAATGTGTTTCCTTTGTGGAATCTTTTCTATGTAGTTGTAGACTGTTCTCCACGCCTCCAACTTTTTCAGCTACTTCTACAAGTGTTCCAGCATTCATTGCTAATAAGTCAGCATTCCTAGGCTACTGTTTTTACTTTGTTTCATTATTATTTTTTTTCCCTGTAGGTGTCTTAGTGGGGAATAAAACAGACCTGGTTGGTCGTCGAGTTGTGGAGCAGAAACAAGCACGGGAGTGGGCTGAGAAACATGGGCTGGAATACTGTGAGACGTCAGTGGTGAGTATCTGCTCCTTTCACCATCTGTGGAAGTGAGTGTTTGTAAAGTTATCTTCTCTTTCAGGTAAGGAAAGATAATTGGGGTCTCTCTTCCACTTGTTTGTCATCTAACACCCTCAGTTTTAATCTGTTTTTTGTGAAGCAGTTAGAGCAGAAATAGTCAAATGCTTATTCCATCTGTCACTCATAACCTTCTTATTTCTTTACAGAAGGAGATGAAAAATTTTGAGGCCCCTTTCCACATCCTGGCAAAGTCATTCCACCAACTGTACAAAGAGAAAGTGGAAACTTTTCACTCACTAGCTTGAAGGCCGTGACTGGGATGACTTATTTATCCTCTAAGCTTCTTCTAGTGCCCAGAATCCTGCAGGATGGAATACAGAGAGAAGAAAAAAGATGAGCTATTTGCTTCTTCATGGTCATCTTCTGGTAATTCAAAATAAACTAGATATAAGAAAGTGGAAAGGTACTCTTCTGAAGTTGCGAACTCAGCATTCTTTTCATGTCCTCTAACTTGGTTCTCTGCTCACTGAAAGTCTGCTAGGTTGGAGGAGACAGGGAGTAAAAGGGGAGGGCAGAATGGAAATTGCCAGCTCTTTGCTTTGATACTGTCTTGTCTCTTGTCTGAACAGACTTCCTGCTGCTACACGCAAGGATTTAGAGGTTTGGAGAAGGAGAGAGGAAGCTGTTTTTCAACTTGAGCAACCTGGCCTTGATACATGTGTTGCAGGGAAGGACTGATTTGGCCCTGCTTGAAAACCATTTTCAGTAGCAGATCTGTGCCTTAAAGTCAACACATGGAGACTGAGATGTGTGGGGACTGAGCTGGATTTAGGTGTGTTTCCAGAAGTGCCCAGAGTTTGAGGCCTGTTTTAACAGTATTACCTTTAACAGTTGTACATCTGATATGCTGATGACTAATATGTGGTTCTGATTTCTAGAATCTGGTTCTTTTTTTCAACGTGGCTCACTTTCACTGCCTGGTAGGCACTGTCTTGCATCTGTACCGCTGTCACTTGGTAACGTGGTGCCCTCTGCTGGTCCCAGGTCACAAGATTTCTCAAGAAGCTACCTCTTGAAGCAAGCAGGACTTCCTACAGGCACATCCAAATTGGTTTATCTGCGAAATGGGGTCAGATGGCAAGAATACCTCTTTTATTCTAAAGACGACTCTAAAATTTTAAACAAATTATCTTTTCTTCTTTGTGTCTTTGTCATCTTATGTGGTTTTGTGTCATTTTTCTTTTTGTCAGCTGAAGCTGGCAATACCATGTTCTCCTTAGGTTCAGTTCTCAATCCCTTACTAGAGTCACAGTTGTCTTTGTTGTTAAACTTTCTCTGCTTGTACTTGAATTTTGGATTAAAGACCAAGATTCTGATGTCGCTAGTGGAAACAGGAAATGAAAGACGACATGCCTAAGTTACTCTGACTCAGCCATGTCTGGCTGGAAGTTCTGTATCAGAAAGAGTAAAAGTCTAGAGAGAACTGCTCTTTTGTGTGGTGTACTGATGTTGCATGTGTGAGAGTCTATTTTCTAATGCAGTATATGAAAGCATCCACGGTTAACTGAGCCTAACACCAAGGATTTCGAAACTGTAAACTTTCTCTTCTCCCATATTGTGTTAGCCTCCTTTGGGCAAAGGAAGCTGAATTTTGTAGGGAGTAAGCACTTCAGGCAGGCTTTTCAGGAATCTGTGTTTCAAGACTTTTATACGTGTGTTTTATGGCCATTTTAATGCCCAGTACGAGGAAGAGTGCATTGGATTGAACATAAGAAATATGGCTGCAGATGTTGTAGCTGAGTTTATGAAGCACTTCAAGAATCTGGAGAAGCAGCTGGGCTCATTTCACTGGCAACAGTGTGTTGATGCTGGGAATTAGCTAGGGAGCATGAATACCAGCTAAAGAAGTTAAGTAGGAGCTCAGCCCACAATAAAAGAAAATGAATAGCTTCTTTTACTAGAAGCCACCTCAAAAAATGACAGAACCAATTGGGAAAGGTCTTGCTTCCTCCAAAGAAGGAAGGATTCCTCCATGGGCGTAGGGTAACTAGAAAACTCTCATTTTTTTTAAATCTGATTAGCATTACTGGCTTTTTTATCTTACATGGGTTGTCTTGTTAATCTTGAGAGGTGTCCGTTGATTTACATGCACTGAGTAGATTCTTGCCAGTAGGTGCTACTACCTTTGACTATTAAGAATAAAAGTTATTTTGGATGCTGTGCTGATCTAATTAAAGAATTAAAGAAGGTTTGTTTTGATTTGGTAGCTCATTTCCCCCTGGTTCTGTTGATGATGTGATTACAACACAAGACAGATATTTTTTCTTATTGAAAATAGCGTGCCAGGTGTGTGTGCCACCTGTAACGTGGTATATGCAGGGATAAATGCCTTGGGAATGGGTGATAAAATGAATCCTATGCAATCTTTTACGAAGGAGTTCGATCTCTCTGTACCAGAAGGAACTCCTGTAACTTCAAATAAGCAGTCTAAATGCACCAGTAAGATGAAGATTGGTGAACGATGTTTTATTAAATGAATGCAAAAGCTGGAGGATCTCATTAAGGGAATGCTTGCAGTGGTGATTTGTGATTTATAGGGAAGCTGCTTTTGAGAGGTTAGTGAAGAAAAATGCATCCCATGGAGGGAAAAAAGATATATTGCCGGAGAGAGGAAATGTATGATCTAATTAGGTAGCAGTAGGGATTCACCCACTGCCCCTTTCCCTCTTTCCACAGGCCATGACTAGAATTAGAAAAGAGCTTGTGTCTAAAGCATGTTACCCAACTTGTTTTTTATAGGACTGTTTCAAGCACTAATGTAGACACAATTTCATGTCCTTCAAAATGGTATGTTTGACAATAACCACCTCAGTCCTTCTGAATGCATTTTAAAAGCATAATCTATTGTCCTTCCTGCCTAAAGTGCTATATAATACCAGCATGATGCAGGTGATGCTTGTTGCTATTTTCCTAGCTTACTTGTGACCTTGGTTGTAGAGGCTAATAGTGAAGAGTGGGTAGAGAACATGGGACTGAGATACAGGAAGGCTGTGGAAAATAGTTTTGTGTCTGTGTGAAGGAGTTTAGGGTAGTGAGTAGGTGAGCTGGACAAGCAGGATGAGTAAGAATATGAAGCCATTATTAAGTTTCTCTTCCTGTGTTCAGTAATTGTTGTGGTTACATCTATAGGGTGAGGATGCATGTTTGCTGCTTCTAGCCTTAGCATCACTCTGAATTACAGACACCGTGGAGAGCAGTGGGAGGAAAGCAGAAAGCCTGTCTGCTGACCAGGAAGCTTGTTGTCTTCTTGCAGCTCCCCTACTTTGTCCAGCTGTGCAGTGCTTTAGGTTCTCAGCAAGGGTGTTTACAACCCAGAAGAGACCCAGCTCAACCAGAACTGAAATTTCGAAAGAAGGGGTAGGAAGCAAACAGGCCTTTAACCATTTTTAAGAGATACATAGTCCTTTTTCCTGCTTGCTTGTTTGATTAGACAAAAACATTCTTTCTTCCTTGGAGTCCCTCCTTCTCATGTTTCCTTTGGTCCTCATGGTTCTGCTGCACAGAATCCCGTTACACTTGTGCCCTGCTTTATTTAGCTTGATACATCACCAGCTGATTTTTTTATCCTTCTAATTTCTGCGTTATCTATTCCCAAGGCTGCAAGACATTTCTTCTTAGAGAGATTAATAGATGAGAGAAAACAAAAGTGTAATTTTTAGTCAAATTGTCTTGGAAAAAAGAACTGTAAGAAGCTGACTGACATTCTGAAATTTTACTGGAAATTAATTTGTGTAAGTTGTCATATTAAAGATGCTTTAATGGTTTTGTTTTGTCTTGCCAGAGATATTCTACTGTGGAGTGAAATGCAGGATGTAAAATTCCAGAAAGATCAGGTTTTATTGTGAGAGTTAATAGGAGTTTCAAAGCTGATTGGACTGTGATAAGGTCTGTTCAGTCTTAACAATGGAGTGGTCACTGCTGTTCATAATAAAGCATTAAATACACTGAAATGGGGCTGTCAGAACAGTTTCTTCTAGTGATTTGTTCATTTTAGAGACTTAAAACTTAAGAAAGGACATCTTTCAGAAAACTGATCTGATAAATGACACCATTTGGACCAGGGTTATTTCTGATATAACTTCAGTGACTTAAAGGGCTGGATTTAGTCTTTTATGCCAATTGACTCCCCTGGGTAAGCTTCATTCCTTTGCCCGCTATACATCTTGGACCGATCTGACCTGATAGCAAAAGACACATGATGTTGTTGAAAATGAAATACTGCCTTGGGGCAGAAGGATAAACTGTGTGGCCTCCTGAGGTCCTCCCAGCAATACTTTCTATAATTCTATTAGATTAAGTGGGGAAAGAAGTAGCGTGGAAAGCACAAAACAGGCTAAGTCATAAACTAGCAATTAAACTGGGAGCTGGGCTGGGCTACAGCAGAAAACATACAATCTATTCCAATTAAGAGCTATATCTCAAGAGAAACCAGGAACCTGACACAGGTGCTGACAGCAGGGAAAACACTGCATTTCTGTTCTGCAGGGAGCAACTGCTTTCTACTGGTGCTTACACAGATCTGTGGGGGTCCATACCCCACTCAAGACTGTGCTCTGCTTTTGCTAATTATTGTATCTATGATGTTCAGTTGACAACTGCTTGCAGTTGTTGTTTCATCTGCCTGTATAAAGACAGCAGTGTGATGGCAGATTATCTGCTAGTAGCAGGAAGACATTTCTGTTCTTGACACCATCCATGATGGGATCCGTCTCTCCCCGTGCGTTCTCAGTCTGTCTTTTCCTACCTCATATCCACTTCTTGATAGAAAATATCCACCTGCTTGTTTGTAGCAAGTAATTTTTCCATCTTGCAGATGGTACTCCATGGAAGCTGGGGCTAAGGGACTTCTAGGACCTAATGCAGCAGAGGTGGAGTCTGAGCAGGAGCTCTTCAAGGGCCATGTTGGCCCCTGCAATGCCTTTCTTAGCCTAAGGGCACATCATCTCTCTGCTTTTCGCATCCTATTTCCTCCTCCTGCTGTCGTCTTGCCTTGAGAACAATGTCTTGTGTGCCAGTTGCCTTTGGCTCTGTTGACCCGGAACATCAATGCTTGGGGGAGGGAGAAAGAAGAGAGCTACTCAATCCCTAGTCTTTTCAGGGCTCTTTAGTCTTTCAGGGCTCTGACTCCCTGTTGAAGTCACCTGAGAGATGGGGATGTTGCTCAGTCTAGAGTATAATTTCCTGGTAGGATACCTCCCAGCTGAGTCCTGGCAGCCTCATCTTGGCTCTTCAGAGATTGCCACAGTGTAACTTTCACAGACACTGGCTGTTCTCATTCTGACTTGGAGTTTTGGGTTTGTTGTTGTTTGCTTTTTTTTACTCCTTGGGGGTCTTTCTCTCATTTTTCTGTCACAGTTTCACATATTTCCTCCCCTACAGCTGTTTGTCAAGAGAAGCCTGGAA